ATAAATAAATTGAATAAAAAAGTGACACACAACATAGAATGATCGATGGAATTTTTTTTTGGAAAACAAATCTATAATAACTTAGAAATAAATGTGGGCTACTCTTCTTTAAATTGAAGAATTTGAATAGATTTTTTTTGAAGTATAAAAAATCCACGTAAATCATAACAACATGATCACATGTATCGTCAAGTTATTTCATTATGAAAATATAGTAGATTTGCATGAATCTTCAAGAATTTATTCTAATCAGATCATAACCATATATATATAATTGTAAAACATTAAATATAATAATCACGTGTTATATTTGCATTAGTTAAGTTATAAGGCAACAATATCTGTACTTTTATAAGCTTTTATACAATGTAAAGTTGAGTGAAATGAAATGGAATGGTTAATGAATGAGTAATGAATAAGAATCTGTTCTGTATATTAATTATTTTGATTAATTGAACAATAGTAATAAGTAATTGTATATATTTACAATGATAAATAGGAAATACATATGAACTTGATTGTTATCATGATAAATTACAGTAATAAAATTAACATATTTTTAAGTCAATTTAGAAAGGAAAATAACACCGTATCAAATGATGTAATATTTTAATTAAATTAAATATTTAACAAATAAATCTAGTTTTTAATGAATCTCCAACTGGTGAAATCTCTGTAAAACAGCTTTGTAATACTACTACTAATAATAATAGGAGCATCAAGACTAAGGATTTAATAAAGTTAAACAAGAACTAAATATCCCATTAATCAAATCTGATACAAAAAAACACACTTTATACTGTAAATCAATGAGGTATTCAAATGTGGGCCAGTGAATTTCAACTTAGTAACTTATCGGTTTTATTCTTACTACTAGGGTTGGATATCTTCGATTCGATTCCATGTGATATATTGATTGAGCACTGACATAGAAATCTAAATAAGAAAGAAAACTCTATTTTTAATAGTTATTAATTTCTAATATTTCTCCAGCTGATATTATATTACCATGTTTACTTTTATCACTAATCGGTTGTCGATTTTTACGTTATTTTATAAAGTTGGATGACTAGCAGTTGTCTTTAAGAGGTCGTGTATTAAGATATTTTTCAGCTTACTGGTAATATCTAGGAAACTAATGATCTACTGACTTATTTTAATTATCAGTTTGAGATATTATTAATGATGTCACTCATTTGGAACTAACAGAGTGTTACGACTGAATAAAATGGGTAAGGTTAAGTAAAAAAAGAAGGGAAATGAGACAGATGAAGATTTATTTGACATCAAAAACAGATAAAAACTATGTCCGAGTAAAATGATCTTTTTGGGTTTAATTTAATTTAGTTAATGGTCACATTTTAAATAAATTTAACCGAGTATCAACTGATACTGAATAGTTACTAACTTACAAATATTTTAATTCGTGAATCTACCATAGGCAAATATGACTGTTCTATGGAGTTCTATCCTTGTCGGATCCTAAAACCTTTCTCTTTTTTAAAAATGACTACAAATGGATAAATTTTTGTTGAGGGCTAACATTAAGAGCCGTTGTGCTGCTTTGTAATACATGATTGCGACTGAATTTATTCAGTCAAGGTTTTCCAAAATTCATTATCTGGGTGAACGTAAAACTGGTATTTCTCGACTTGTATGAGCTTTCGAACGTAAACTTTGTATTGTCACTGATACTGTTGACTAAAAGTTGACTAGTGAGGCTGTATTTTAAACCCCAGCCTCTCTAACTCAATCTGAATTTTATGCAACCCCTCCATAGTTAATTACCAAACGGTAGACATTATAACGAAACCTTCAAACGTATGTTATTTATTTGTTACGTCTCATATTCAAGTTTAGTATGACACCACTGTCGGAGTGAAGGTTAGAAGTTTACGCGCCATTACCAATGAGCTGTATTAAGGCAGATTATTTTGAACATATATATCAAAAAGCCTTATGGCTCTATATTTAACTCTGTTTAAATCACAGTGATCTATATTCAAATGACTTATACGCTATACGGCACTTTGTTGATGTGCACTTTATCAATGTTCGTTGTAAGAAGCGAACTCCCAAAGCAGATTTTTATCAACAAAGACTCACGTTTTCAGAATAGTTAATGTTAGCGAAGGTCTGACTATTAACGTCTAATATCAGAACAAGTTAAGTTACATCCATTTTCGAAGGCGGTCGTGAATAGCATTTCAACCTTACTAGATTAAGTTATCGAGCTACGAATGGGTGAATATATCATAATGGCAGTTATAGGAATTTTATGATGTTTATTGTTTTGAATAATAGTAATTGACTTATTGTCACAGACATCTTTACTTGAGACAGAGGGAATAAAAAGAAACTAACCACTTGTAAAATAATAGATGATTGTGAAAAATACATTTGTTTCTGGTGGTTTATAAAAGATGGTCAAAGGAAAACGTTAAAGCAAAGGAGACTTTGATTTACGATAGATCATAAAAGGAAGGATAAAAACTAGGTATTATATTTCAGATATAACAGATTTTACTGATGCTTCAAATTGGACTTTAATAATTTAACATACTAAGTATTAGTCTGGAGACTCAGTTTCCCAGATAAATCCGTAATCAAAAGCTACGATTTAACGTTTTTGTTATGGCCATGATGAATAAATCAGAACTGTACTTTTTAAGAATCGAATTAAAAGGGTAGATCTGAATATACAGGATCTAGATTCATTAGAAGAAACAATTGTTGCAGTATAGGAATGTGGTGATTTTAAAGTAATAAGTACTGTGAATTAAGCTTAAAAATATTCATATTAGGAATTGAGTTGTACTTTACTAGCCCCAGCCCAACTTTGAATTATGGAGTCTTTAATTTATTACTAGACAATAAACATTGTAATATTTTCATAATAATATTGTTACTACTCATAAATCATTTTTGTTACACTTTCAACTACTTCCAAGTACGCGGCTAATTGTTCTTTTATAAATGATTTTATTTCCTGTTTGTGTTTTTAATGCAATAATAGTACATTAGTAATGACAATTAATTTTTTTCTTGTCTTAACTAACAGGTTCATTAGGATTCTGGTCCGACTTTCTGTATAAAAAACTAGATCCTACGAGAACTTTCTACCGGAAAACTTAGGATGTCAATTTTTTGAAAAAAGTAAATTATCATCCATGTTATCGCACATAATTCATTCAAACGATTATTTTTAGCAGGAATGATATTTCTACATGTAACACTTTCTAAGTGTTTATTTTTATAACGATATTGAGATATCCGACTGTACGAATTCAAAACTATCGTACTATTTGATATTAAGTTTTATTTTAATTACAAGTAACTGCTATGTGCTAACTTAATTTCTGTTAACACAATCTAATAGTTCCCTGTGTAATCTGATAGTTACAGACAATTTCAAACAGCAATACGAAACATTAAGTTATTTCTTTAATTGAATAATCAACTATATGTCTGAACAACTCCTTAAATACAAATATTTGAATAATAAGTTATCCTTAAGATAAGGGAGAAAGACAAATGTTGCTTGTGCTAGTTTTCAAATAAATTAAAGTTCTAAAAAAATCGTATTTACTAGAAATGTCAACCAAATAAATAAGTGATAATTTATATTCATAATAAGAGGTACAGTAAAATTACATTACCTATGGCTCAATAAAATCTCAATTAGATTGTGTAGTGATAATATTATTTCAAGTAACTGAAATAGTGATTATCTATTACCATGATCAATATTTAGGGATTTAAGTTTCAATGTCATTAATCTTACTTTAAAGCTGATTATGACAGTTTTTTTCTTTTGATCTGTAAAGTACCTTTACTTTCTAGATTAAACGTATTTTATGTTCTTTCTAAATATATGTCGTTAATTTCGGATAAATTTTATAAAAATAGATAATGACTTAAAACGGATAGTTGGATAGGTATAAATTACCTATAAATGTAACTGATCAAGAAATTATCATAACACTCCTTCTGTCCAGTTAATAATTAATTTTATCTATTAATTGTATTTGGTAATAACTGTAGGTAATTAAGATTCTTTTTCCTTACCTAATACATTGTAACCGTACTTGAAATATATGATTTTAGTTTTTCTAGTTAAAGACACTATACTTCTTACTGTATTTGCAACTTGCCTAAAATTTTGCAAATAACCTATAAAGTAATTTCAATCCTCTTTTATGCTTATTGTCAACAGTTTTTTTGTTACCATAGCTTGTCATTGCTTAAACTATTTAATTTATCTGGTTGTTCTGGATTAAACTGTTTTCAATCTTGATTTTCTATCCGATGAATCTATTGACATGAAAAGTTCTATCTGAAGATTATTATTTCACCATTATAATAGTTTTAGTATTTATAATGTCCAATTTACGGCAAACTTAGGAACTAATTTATTTGATGGAAGTGCTGATTACTTCAATGAACTTGAACTATGAAGCTTCTGTAAGTGATCACTGTTCGGTTTGAGTGTGATAAAAAAATATATTACTAACAAAGTTATTCAGTGATGTGGGAATGATAATAATTGGTTGTCTACTTAGTCAGACATGTAGATAGTCTGACAGGTGTCAGATGAGTTATATATTCCCTTATCCTTATAATTATTATTGATTGTTCATTGTTGTTGGATTGTGTCGGGATTTTGGTGTGGAAATATATTTGCGTTGTGGTCAAGCTAATCACGTGTTCTTGATCTGAGTTGTGCTGAAGTCCTGTAGAATAGACACTAGGAGGGAATCTAGTGTAAATATTCGTTTAAGGTAAATTAACATCCCATACGTGTAAACGTGGGAAACCAACTGTTATAACATTCAGACAATTAAATTTTAGCAATAAATTTTTTTGTATGTTCTTTGTACTGACTAAAATGTGTTAAAAAGCTTTTTTTATATTAACATTAATGTCTAGTATGAATAGATATGTTGATTTAGTAGAAAACAGATCCATTAAATTCGCAGTCATATAAAAGCACCAAACTCACAAAATAATAATCTATTTGGTTGTTGTTACTCACAATTGCCTCTATAAAAATTATAACAATAATCATGGTAAAAACGACAATATTTCAATGTTCCAAATAAACAGGAACTCATTTAAACAGTTACAACAATAAAAAAATGTGTATAATGTTAAGTGTAACTTTGTGAACTATAAACATTTCTGTATTTTTGGAAAAGTGTTAAGATTTCACATTGACTTTCAAATTCTATACGTCATCTGTGAAATATTAGTAGGATTTCAGTAATGGAGCTTCAACGACCAATGTGTTACCCACCATTTGTGAAGTTACAGATAATGGATCAACTCTATGTGGGGTATCATAAGAATGTGAAAACTCAGCACATGGTGTATTTTTTGTCCAACGACTGTCACTTTTTGAACATCGACCAGATACCACTACACGATTGGAATCAACATGAACGCATAAGTCTTCAGATTTATACATTGGGTCAATTGGTATTTCAACATGGAGTCGTTTGCCTTTGAAACCTTCATCAATAATGGTTAAGCCATTAGTACCTGTTGAAATTTAAAAAGAGGAATTTAGAATCAGTGTTTTCTAAGATACTGAATAACAAGTATTTTTCAGCATTTCTGTTAGTGAATAAACTAGTGTAGATTACCTTTGACAACTAGATCTTTAGATGGTGTTACATTTCCAGTACTAATATTTGATGTAGGTCGAATAGCAATTTGACGTTGATTATTAAATGTCACTGATTTATGATTATTTGGTTTTACTGGAGCTTCTAATAATAAGACTCCATCCTACAAATGAAAATGAAACAGACTTAAGTGTAATTTATTTGAATGTATAATAATGATAAAGATAATTGTGAGACAGTATGCGCATTATGAAATAAGGTTAATCTATGTTTATCATATAAACATAAATCTAGTCTACTTCATGTGATCTACGTATAAAAGCGGTTAAGATGAAAATTAAGTATGATAACAATAATAATTGACTTCCTTATTATTAACAAATAAAGAACAGTAATTCATTTAAGATAATACCAACAAAACTACTTATGATTCTACTTTGGATTATGGGTAGAAGAATCCAGAAAGGGTTTTTTATTTAGATCACCATTGAAAACTTGGAAGAACTGGACAGCCGTTTCGCCCTAGTATGGGACTCCTCAGCAGTGCGAATCCACGATCCTGGGATTTGAACCCAGGACTTCCGGTCTCGCGCGCGAACGATTAGCCTCTAGACCACTGAACCTTCATCCAACAGTGTTAATGTCTAACTTCAACCAATCCACGAAATTGTGTGATCAGTTTCCATTGTCTGAGGTAGATACCTGTCATTACCTGACACAGTTTGGACTCCGCTGATCACGGCTTCCTACTAAAACTCCGCGAATTCCCTCATGAAGCTAGTCACTAGTGAGCACATGGTAATTTATGATCTCGATCAAAAGCTTAACAATCTCCACAACCCCATATTGATGACTGTTTTTTTATTGTCAACTTCAATCTACTTTCATCTTAGTATAGATCTTCACATTAAATCGAGCCTAGTGTCCACCGCTTAAGATGCTAAGGATGAATTAAGATAGAACAGACATCTTGAACTCCATTTTTAACAATCCTCCAAAATGCAACTAAATTTTGAATACAAATACTATTGAGGTATTGGCCTAAAAAGACCATACATCATTAAAAAATGGATCAAATTTCTACTCCGAATACCAACAACGGAAAATCACGTACCCTTACATATATTAATAAAAAGGACTAATGAATCACTGATTAATAAATTCATGTGAAAAAAACATTACTTACATTTGTTAAATGACATTCTAATTTTGTTTGTTCGATTGATTGTGGTAAGTCGATCATACGGCAGAACTGACGTGAACTCTTTGATGTGTCAGTTTCAGTCACTTTTTTAGCGCTGACAATCACACGATTATCTGTGGTGCTTACATTAATATCCTCTGGTGAAAAACCTTTGACATTAAATCTAACCTTGAAATGCACCTATTAAATTATTGGTCGTTTGAAAAAGAAAAACACAATATTATTATTATTAAATCTGTCACTCATACCTTTCCATCTTTACCGACTTCATATGCATCTTTTAAAAAATCATTTAATGACCCAGTAAATGGTGCATCAGTTATACCCATTCCCCGACGAATGTTTTGAATACGTTGTTCCATTTCTCTTATTAAATTATTTGGATCAAATGAAGTGTCGAATACATCCCAGTTATTTAAACCAAAATTATCCAAAGGCTATAATTGTAAAAAAAAGTCGAAAAAAAACTTTTGTAAGTAGACAAACACATCCATCAGTAAATGAAAGTATAACTGAATATTCTCATCTATTATGAAAGAGAAAATGTAATTGATAATTCTATCCAAACCAGGATATTTTGATTTATTGTGAAGAACGATACTGGATGATTGGCTTGTTAATGTATCAAATAGGGTACTAGTTATTTATATAGTATGTTTCAACTTCGCTTTGATTTGAAACCATTATTACGGCACGTAAGATTTACACTAATCGGCCATTGCGTAGTTACCCAGTTTTTATAAGTGTTTGAACTTTATCTACCACATTTCATTAGTGGCCAGCAAGCTAAGGAATTTTGTATTGTTATACACTTTGTTTTTTGAAGTTAGCATATACGATGAATTTAAATTTCATGCTGATTAGTACGTATCATGAAAGCGTATCTGCAAAGGTTCGAACCCACATCATCATGTTCCAGAGTTTGTGACGTTATCATGGATTACAGAATCTATGTAAACCAATTATCATTCATGTAAATATGTATTTTCAGCCTATTTAATCTAATCATTATTATAAGGATTGTGTGTGGATTTTCGAGTTTTACAGTTTATATCACAAAATAACCTTAATCAAACAAAAATTGAGAACTAAACAGCAGTGGACGGTTGTTTTTACTTTAGAAAGAGATTTCTAAGCAGTGCCCATGAGCGACTTTATCGGGGATCGAACTCAGAACATTCAGTTCTAGTGAAAAACGCTTAACCTTTAGACCACTAGCTCACATGTCTAACCTCAATCACTCAATGACATGGTTCAAATTTCTTTCAATATCGTTGGTAGGTATTGTATCTTACCTAACATGATTGAACTCCATTGTTCACAGCTTCTCGCTAGAACCGGAATTACCTGTCGAAATTAGTCAATAGTGAACACACTATATAACTTGGTGGTATTATTTATTCTTATTTATCATTATTTATTGAATGAAATTTTCCTTCTAAATTTGTTTTAAAAAATTTTGTCTTTTAGCTCTAAAGGTTAAATTTCAAAGTCAAAAATTGATACAAAGTGAACTACTGTAGAGTATACAAGCCCTTTGTAAGACAGATGGATATCTTGCCTGAGTCTACTATTTCACATTAAATCTATCAATTTCCCAATTGAAAATTGATCCATGAAAAAATCTCATAACAATTTTACCTTACAAAAAACTTATACATAAATCATGTTTACATACCATTAATTGAAACATTCCATTTCTAATACGTTTCATTTCATCATCCCATCTTTTCCAAGATGATTTAATCCAATCATCCACTTCATTAAACCAATTATCGTGATATGGTAAAATACTATTTTTATAATTTGGAAAATTTTCTACATCTTTTAAAAAATCTTTTCTATATTGTTCAAATGTTCTAGTATCTCGATTAACAGGTATTGCTATTGTTCTATCCTTTGACATTATATATAATGAATGAATGAATATCGAAAGTTATAATATACAATTAAACTGTATTTATAAAATTTATACTTGATAATTTATTCTGTTTTATTGTACTTTTTATTGATGTTATTGTTGTTATCATTATTATTATTATTATTGTTGTTGTTGTTATCATTGTATAATCGGTTAATCATATGCATTATGAGACTAATGAACCAATGAGAAAAGAAAATACACATATAATATCACATGATTATTGAGTTAAATTATTGATTTTAAAAACAAACAAATATAAAAATTGTACTTTCAGCTGATTGATAATAATAAGAAAAAAAAGAAAGAAATTGGAATTGATCATTAAAAAACTCTATTATTTACTGTTATTATTTTATTTAATTATTGATTTGTATTTAATATCAATAAATGATATGATTAGGTAATTTCAGGTAATCAAGAGGGGGAGAGAAAAAAATTAATTATTAATAAAGATCGATTGAAACCTTACAATTTGATTAGTGAATTCATAATGTAAGACATTTAAAATTACATTAAATCCATAATTATATATTATTTAATCAATCGATTGTATTGGAACTAATACATAATACTTTGGAATATCAGTAGTTAAGACTGGTTAAAGTATATGCGCATAGTTAAACTATCAGTTTAATGAGTTGGTTATTATAGTGAATAAGAACACGTGTGGTGACATCCGAATGTATTTGCGCGCAAAAGTACAGAGTATCACAATAAATCTGAGAACCATACAGTAAATAGTTAGTTTGCAAAATATCAATGAATTGTCCCAAACATGATTGCCTCTTTTGCAAATATCAGTCCATCGTCTCAGATTTCAATGTTCGTGCATTTTCATATCAATCGCTTTCCGTTTCCGTTTTTTCCTTTTCGATCGTCTAATGAAATACATTCTATTCCTGACCATCATTATATACTACTTGTGTGAACATAATTAGCTCACACCATATTATCTCTTTACAAAGCAAGTTAGCGCATGTTATTAACCAGTAAAGTGGTAGCTTATGTGTAAAGATAAAAAAGAGCTTGTCTTATGGAAAATAAATCAAAAAATTCATTTGAAATATTTGCTTGAATCTTTCCGCTACTGATGTTAAGAACTGCAACTGAATAATTTTTCATGGGATATGTCAATCCCTAGCAAGTTGCTTCGATGTAACCATTAAGTTAAAAGCATTTTAAGCGTAGTTGGATAGTGACTAGCGGTGGAATCTAGCATCCAGTGGCCATCTTGACTCAGAATTTAAGTGAATAACACATTGAGTTCTTGAAGCGAAAGGTACTGGTTCCAAGTCCTGGTATGAACATCAACAAGGAAGCAGATACATTCAACTGACGAGTCCTAAACAGAATGAGATGTATCTTGATTATCACTCCAAGCCGCTATCAAACTCTCCTTAAAATAACTCAATAAACTGCTCATTGACAGTATATTACTTTAGTTCATTTGAGTGGATAGATAATAGATGATGAAATTGAATAAACTTTAATAATTACGATGAACGCTTAAAAATGCAAGTACGTTTCTGTATCCATAACAGGAATTTGATAAATTCGTTACGGTTAGTTATGTTAATCTCAACTGCATATAAAACTAATTCCGAAGTTAATCAACCATTAACATGAGTAGGTGGTATTATCTGGAGTTTGGTATTATTTAAGGTGCCTTCGAAAACGTTTAAACACTGGTTATCCATTTTGCTATGGTACTGTATTTGTCAAGGGTACGCACCCAAAACGCTCCCAAAGGTGGAACCCAACACCTTCAAGTTTCTTAGATAGCGTTAAGAAATTTAACAACTGTCCTAGTGTCACAAGGGGTTATAGTCCCATTCTTAGACGGATCACCTGTCCAGTACTCTGTACTGTATTTTCCAAATGTTGTCATTCGTTCTTAAGTTGTTTTTTTTCTATTAATTCGTTAGTTTACTTACGATCACCATAAATATATGTGAACTTCTATAGTCATCAATATATAATCAGAATGTAAATGTCACTTTACATTCAGTTAACAAATATTTGGAATACAACTTATTTAGAAAAAAATGTCAAACAATACAAGCATTCAATGAATTTATTTGTAGATCCATTATAAAAAATGAAGAATAACTGGTCACCATAGGAGCGAAAAAATTGTGCAATAAAATAACACCAACTTCATAATCTCCATTAAGAAATTAAAATAAATATTTCATAGAAGATGAGCTTTATTTTTGAAAGTTTCACCTAAAATAGGCAATAAAATCATATTTATATAAAACAATTATTGCCGTGGAAAAGTTTTGTATATTAATTTAATTGTATACTATAAATGGAACTCATGAAGTACAGCTTATAAATAATGTGTTGTGGTGTATGCCACTCATGTCGACAGGTATAAGTAGTATGCATCACCAATCGAAAGTGAAATGCCTGGCAGCAGGTTGGGAAAATCGAGAAGAGAACTAGAACAGAGAGTAATTGGTATGGAAACGAAGGAACAGTAAAGTCTGAGACACTTGATGGATATTTTGCAAATGAAGTATTTACTTTATGGTTCTAAGATTTCACCAAGATATCCTGTAATGTCGTATTTAAATGCATTTGGTTGTCCTCGCCTATGCTCTCGTTCACTGCAGTGTAACATATATTGCTATATGATTTATAAAAGTAACTCGTAAACATAAGACACGGCCGGAGTCCGGAAAACTATGGTAAAATAGAAGATTCCGATATATTTTTATCTAATTAGGTCAATGAACGCCATTATAGACAAGAATAAGGATGGATTGAAGGCTTTAATATGATAATCATGATAGAATAGTATGACAATGTGTAAGATAACTTTTCCAGGTGGATTTTCTACGAATTTAAATCTTCCTAGTTCTAGCTTCTCTCTCTGTGAGTAGAACATTTAAAACAAACCTTGGAAATAACTTCTTCCTATAAAGTAAATTGGATGAGTGATTTTCAATCATTAAAAATATTTACTAAAATATCAAAGTGATAACCTTCGTCACAATTAATAAAAGTGTCATCGTTATATCTGCTATAAGTGTTTAAATTCTGTTTAGTTTTTGCTGGAGTATTTCTCTGAATATTCGCCAAGACGATATTAGCCAATACTGAGTCCAACAGTGATCCTACTGTGATAGTACCTATCTGTCACTAATCTATATGTCAGATCTGAACTCATACCCTATAAGGTGGATATCATCCAATTACTTGACATGTAGTTATCGTTTATATTTCAAAATTCAAAACTTCCGAGTTAATATATTGTGTACTATTCTGTTACTACTTACGCCTGTTACTCCCAATGGTGCATGGGCCGCCGACGAGCATTCTCCAACCCACTCTGTCCTGCGCCTTCTTTTCTAGTCCCATCCAATTCTTGTTCATTTTTCTCATGTCTAACTCCATTTCTTGGCGTAATGTGTTCTTTGGTCTTCCTCTCCTCCTTCGACCTTGAGGATTCCATATGAGGGCTTGTCTTGTGACGCAGTTCGGTGCTTTCCTCAATGTGTGTCCTATCCACTTCCAGCGCTTCTTCCTGATTTCTTCCTCATCTGGGATCTGATTTGTTCTCTCCCACAGTAGGTTGTTGCTCATAGTGTCCGGCCAGCGGATCTGAAGTATTTCGCGTAGACAACTGTTAATAAACACCTGTATCTTTTGGACGATGAATTTCGTAGTTTTCCAGGTTTCCGCCCCATACAGTAGAACTGTCTTGACATTTGTATTGAAAATTCTGACTTTGGTGTTGGTTGCTAATTGTTTTGAGTTCCAGATGTTCTTCAGTTGTAAATATGCTGCTCTTGCTTTGCCAATCCGTGCCTTCACATCTGCATCAGATCCACCGTGTTCATCGATGATACTGCTCAAATATGTAAAGGTTTTAACATCTTCCAAATTTTCTCCGTCAATTGTGATTGGATTGGTGCATGCTGTGTTGTATCGAAGAATCTTGCTTTTCCCTTTGTGTATATTGAGACCTACTGCTACTGAAGCTGCTGCTTCACTGGTCGTCTTTTACTGCATTTGTTGCTGCGTTTGCGATAGAAGAGCCAGATCATCTGCGAAGTCTAGATCATCCAATTGCATCCTAGCTATCCACTGTATCCCGTGCTTCCCTTCAGATGTTGATGTCTTCATGATCCAGTCGATCACCAGGAGAAAGAGAAAGGGTGAGAGTAAGCAACCTTGCCTGACACCGGTCTTTACTTCGAACGACTTTGTCAACTGTCCTCCATGCACGATTTTGCAGTTCAATCCATCATAGAAATTCCGTATGATATTGACTATCTTCTCAGGCACGCCATAGCGTCGAAGAAGCTTCCATAGTGTTGTTCTGTCCACGCTATCAAATGCTTTTTCGTAGTCGATGAAGTTGATATAGAGTGATGAATTCCATTCAATTGATTGTTCCACAATGATCCGAAGAGTTGCGATTTGGTCTGTGCACGATCTATCCTTACGGAATCCTGCCTGTCGGTCGCAAAATTGTGCGTCTACGAGGTCCTTCATCCTCTTTAACAATACCCTGTTGAAGACTTTTCCTGGTATTGAAAGAAGAGTGATTCCCCTGTAGTTGTCACAGTTGCTGAGATCGCCTTTCTTTGGTATTTTGACTAGAAGTCCTTCCTTCAAGTCTTTTGGTACCTGTTCCTCATCCCAAATCGTTCTGAATAGAACATGAAGTATCCTTGCAGTTACAGCTACGTCTGCATTCAGTGCCTCTGCTGGAATGCTGTCTAGTCCTGCTTCTTCGACACACTTGATTTGTCTGATAGTCATGCTGATCTCTTCAATTGTTGGTGGGCCAACACCAATTGGGAGGTCCGTGAGTGCTGCTTCGATGTTGGGTGGGTTCAGTGGGGCTGGTCGATTCAAGAGTTCTTTGAAGTGTCCTACCCACCTGTTTCGTTGTTCTTTAATGTTGGTGATTATCTTGCCTTCCTTGCTTTTCACTGGTTGTTCTAGTTTACGGTGATTTCCAGAGAGTTTCTTTGTTGTGTCATACAGTTGTCTCATGTTTCCTT